AGCTGCCAGCTAATTAGACCAGGGGAGCCGGAACATCCAAGGTCTCTCTCCTGGAAAATTGCAACTGAGATACTGGGCTGCTTGGAGCGAGCAGCTGAAGGCTGCACCTACTATTTTGAAGTGAATGAGTAAGGCCAGGAGGTCTGTAAGCAGAGGAAGAAAAATGAAACAAGTGGAGACATAACAGCACATGTGTCCAGCAGAGAGGGAGGAGGGGAGGGGGAGCACGGGCCAAGGAGAGTGCCAGCCCTTCCTGGTCGTGCCAGCTGAGCTCCAGGCTTGTGGTGACCGGCTGTTATTTTTGCCCATTTGTTTGCCTTCTGTCTCCCTTTTGTCTGTAACTTCCCCATCCCCTTTTGTGAAATTACCCCTTCTTCCCTGTTTTGGGTACAGTCATGGAGCTCAGCCCTCCCGTGACCCAAGCAGGCTGGTCAGAGTATCTTCCACAGGAGCAGGAGCATCTGCGTGTCCAGCCTCGGACTCAGGGCCGGGCTGTGGCTGGAGGCCCTGGCAGGACGGAAGTGCTCTGACAGGGCTCCCCTGGGGCCCCTAGAGCCTCTGCGGTGGCGAGCCTCTCTCAGATCGATTCCTTTGATATAGCGAGCTACTTCTTGTCCATTTTAGTTACACTGGTCTCTGTTGCTTGCAGCCAGAGAGCCCTGACTGCGTTAAAACCGTCCTGTTATGCATTACCTGTGTGAGTTTAAGCAAGTCATTTAGGCCTCAGTTTTCTCATGTATAGAAATTTCTAAGAGTGTCTTTCTCTACCTGCCCCTTCTCCCCCAACTCCCCAGGCTGATGTGAAGATCAAATCAACTGAGTTGATGGACGTGGCAGCGTCCTTAAACTATAAAGCACTACCTAAATGTACAGGATAATTAATATTCACCCTTCCTTGTATTGTTAACACAGAATACATTCTCTAGGAAAAGAGCTGATGTTAGGAAAAAGAAAGTAAAAATTCATCACCCTGTCACAAATGGGTCTCCGGTGCTGTCATAGCAAAAACTGGGATGGAATTTTAATGGTAGCTGAAAGCTGCTGCTGGGGTAGAAGACAAACGGCTTACATTATATCATATTTCTGTCTTTGGAGCTGAATTTGAAGAAACAGCCCTCTATCAGTGAGCTGCCATTTGGACATTATTCACAAAAAGATAAAAAGATAGTGTGGAGGCATTGTTCCAAAATCCACTGGACGTGGGGTAGCAGTTCTGTTCTGTCGCCGATGGGGCTGTGGAGCTTTCAGGGAGCAGGTGTGCCAGTGAGGGACCCGTCAGTGAAGGGAGCAGACCCACAGCTGCAGACAGGACCCACTTCTACCCCTTCTCAGGGGGCAGCGGGCCCCAGGGACGCGGTCTGCTTTAATTGTACACAGGGACACCTCTGCCTTTTTTCCTTTTGGGGAAAGTGAGAAATGCTTACCGCAAAAATCTAAACATTACAGATACTTAGGATATCAGGAGCAAAATCTTCCCACCATCTTGCCTCTTCCCTTCAAAGGGGAAAGAAAAGCCACTGTTAGCTGTTCATTTTTTTGGCTTATAGTTCCTGCAGTTGTCCTTCAGTGCATACAACTCTCCACCACCTTCCTGTCCTCCTCCGTCCATGTCTGTAACCACCATGCCCGTCTGCAGTGCCCTCCTCCCGCCTTCCTCTTCCCTCCCCCCCACCTCCCTTCCCTTTTCTCCACCCATCATTAAGGGAAGCATACCTCACATGGCTTTTTCAGCTGTGTTCTTTTAATCTATACAATAACTCTTGGATACATTCCTTGTTAGTATGTATGCATATGTCCTTTTTTGTTTAACAGTATATATATTTATGTATGTGACTGTTTCAACATATGCAATTTATTGCATCTTTCCCCTATTGATGGATATTTGGTGTGTTTATCACTTCTGCTACTAGCAATGCTGCACTAGAAAAATATAAATATATCATCAAATCTGTGTACTGCTGAGTGTTTCCACTGGCTGAATTCCTAGAGATAGAATTATGAGTAAAAAGTAAGAACTTTTTAAATGTCAGTAGCTATTGTCAAATTGTCCTCTAAGTAAACCTCTACCAACAGCGAGGAACATGCGTGTTTTCTTATGTCCTCAACCACTGGATATTATCACATTTAAGAACCTTCCCTGTTAGGTGAAAAATGAGATGTCGCTCAACTTCCCTTAGTTGTGAGTGACTCTGAGAACATATTACTATTTTTATTGGCCATTTGTATTATTATGTGCATTTCTTTTGTGTCCGGGCTTCTTCCCCCTCCTCTCTTCTTTCTCCTCTTTTCATATGTAAGAGCTCTTTGTAGACTAGCAAAACTGTCCGCTTCCCGATGGGTTCTCCAAGTTTGACTTTGTTCAGGATATTTTTTGCTTTGCAAATATTAAAAATTTTTTAAGACATCAAATTTTTCAATCTTTTCCTTTATAGATTCTGAGTTGCCTTTTTTTTTTAAAGGTTTTATAAGGCTTTCATAAGATCATAAAAGCATTCTCCCAAGGAGTAGGGAGCCAGGGAACCTGCTTCACCTCTCTCCTTATGACTCACCAGCTGTTCGATGCTAAAGAAATACAGTAGTCCAGGGCAAATGGAGGGCAGACAGCTCCTCACCACGGAAGCAGCAGGGGTGGTGTCCAGAGGCCAGTGGGATGTGCTCAGTCGTGAGCCTCTAAAATTCATATGTCGAAGTCCCAACGCCCAGTACCTTAGAATCTAACTGTATGTGGAGTACTTAAAGAGGTAATTAAGTTAAAATGGGGCTGTTAAGACGGCACCTAATCTGTAAGACTTGCAGAAAGAGGAGATTTGGACACACAGAGACCAGAGGCACAGGAGTGCAGAGGAAAGGCCTACTGCGGACCCCATGGGAAGACAGCCACCTCCGAGCCAGGGAGAGAGGCCCCAGAAGAATCCAGCCCTGCCGGCGCCTTCATCTTGGATTTCTAGCTCGTAGAACAGTGAGAGAATAATTTGGTTGCACCCTGTCGGTGGCACTTTGTTATGGCAACCTAGCAAACAAAAATGGCCGGGCACCCCCCTGATTCATGGCAGATTCATCCGCCTAACAGAGGCATCTGGGGCCATGCAGCACTCGCAGCTCAGGTCATCCAAGGAGCCATGGTGTCCCAGAGAAAATGCAAGCTTGGGTTGAACACTGTGCTGGACTGCAGGCGTCCTCTGCCCAGCTTCCATGCCCCCCGACTCTTCTCTCTTCCCTAGGCACATGGCTGCCCAGCTATACACTCCATTTCCTGAATTTTCTTCCATGTAGATGTGGACATGCGAGGGATTTGGGCCAGTAGTCTGTGAGTGTATGTGTGCAGCCTCTGGCCCATTTCCAGCTCAACACACAAACACTCCCTCGGTTTTGGCTGTGTGCTGTCCTCTGGGGCTGTCTGTGCACGTGAAGGAGCATGGCTCGGGAGAACACGTGGGAGCTGAGAGAAACTGACTGTCCCCAGCGAGCACCGGGACACTGCACAGCTGACACACACACTAACTTGCACACCTGCTTCCCGCACACCACAGTCACGGCCAGTGAGCACGGCTCACTTGTTTCTGCCAGACCCATACCCACACCCACACCCACAAACCTGCACACACCCTCACAACCCCAAACACCCACACATACCCACACTCACATCTACACCCACCCACCCACATCCACCCCCACACCCACACATGTCACCGCCCACATACACACTCACACACACACGTCATTTCTCATCATGTCCTTATCATCCTCTCATCATGTCCAACTCTACTGAGCTGGGCAAAGGTGATAAGGAAATAAATAACAAGATCCAGAAGCTTCTTTGAACCCCACCTAAAGAATCCTAAATCTATTATTTATGTAGTCTCAGCCTTTTTCATTTTTAGAGCTAGGAACATTTTTCACACTAGGTGGTTTGGATTCTGGGCCACATAAAATGTCTTCTCTGCCTTTTGTTCTCAAATGATATCTTATGCATCAAACAGTGAAACAGGCTGAGTGACATGATTTAGAGCAGCTTTTTCATGTGCATGCTCACCTGCATCAGAGCCACCAGGGTGCAAATTCCTGGGCCTAACCCAAGATGTCAGAGTCTGAATTTCAAGCTCCCTAGCTCATTCTGAGGTATTTGAAAATTTAAGAACTACTATTTTAATGACACCACTCCATACCTTTAAGCAAAAGTCCAGCCCCTTTAATATCAGTCAGTTTTCCTAAAATCCATCCCTGGTGCCTCAAAGCCTGATAACTACCCTGGTTTCCTAACCCTGAATCTTCCAAGTATGTTTCCTGGTAAGGCCAATGGAATCTCCGAGTGAAGATTACAAGGACCCAGGCTGTCCTGTGGAGTGGAGGTGGAGCGAGGGGCGTCCATCTCTTGGGGGCTGGATTTGCGTGCCCCAGGAAAAGTTTCCCTTTGGTGCCCTGGGCCTTCTCTGCCCTCGGCTGCGCCTATCAGGAGTAGAGCCCTCAGACTGCCTCTGGTTGTCCCACAGCTCGCACCTCACACCGGTTGGCTCCGTCATTCCCACTACCTTCCTGACACTCTGGAAGCCCCGTGCTCACCAGCACCTAACTGTGCGTTGGAAGTCAGATTAACTCTTCCGCACAGAGAGAAGGCACTTTCATTCTGAAGAATGCGTTCATCTGCCTGAGCATCCGGTTGGTGGGATGATGGTGGAGGAGTTTAGGAGCGTCTGTGCCCCCATCGCGAAGTCAGTTTCAAGGTTCCCAAGCCATCGTTGTTCAGTCCTGCCCTTTCTTCACTATGGCAGAGAAACTGAATAGACATGGACTTTGGGTGGACTAGCAAAGCAAATGGCCAAACCCATGGGCAGGGACTTTGATTTAACTAGACGGCCAGCCTGGTGACATGACCGGGGAGGGGGCCTCCTGGAGGTGAGGGGCATGCATGCCAAGGCTGGACCGGCCGGCCGTGTGCTAGGGGAAGGAGTGCGCAGCGCGGTGCTGTGTACTGGGGCCTCCCCTGTGACCCATGGACTGACCTTTTCTTCTCTTGTGGCTCCTGCCCCCTCTCCGCCTTGGCTGTCCTGGGGCTGCAGCTCCAGGACCATGCGAAAGAGCTTTTCCGAGGTCTGGGTCAGGAAGCTGATCTCCGCATTGGGGTGGAGGCCATAGAGGTAGGGCGACTCTGCGGGCAGCTTGGCATCGATGTACTGCAAGTCGCGGGCAAGCCCAATAAACAGCAGCACCTCCCCTCTCCTACTCTGGATCTGCCCTGAAGGGCAGTTGGTGGGCCAGAGCAGGCCCCCGGCAGCAGTGTCCCTTTGGCCCGCCAGGAGAGCACACTCAACCGACGCCGGTCACATATTCTCTACCTGTTAGCGCACATCCTCTCCCCGGGCTTTCCTGACACCATCTGTTTTTGCAGGTGGGCTTGTTTTCCAGACTTTTCACATTCACAAGAGCATTCTCTTGTCCGGGAAGCTTAGAGAACTTTATCCCCAATCTCACGCCCTTCACCGCTGCCTGATGTACACCGGTCCCTCCATGCACAAGAAGGATGCTCAGTGTCCTTCAGAAATGCTAATCCCAACCTGGTGTTTGTGGCCAAGCTCTTCTAGGGTCCCAGCCCACTTCCCCTTGAATTCGGTTTCTCTAAATCAGGAATCACAAAGCTGAACACAAACATAGGGACAGGCATACAGAATAAATGTGTGAATCGGGCTGTGGGATGAGGTGAGTTTTGCTGTGAACTGGAGAGTACCTACCTCTAGTGAAAATCATTAGAATTTTAAAAACTTAAATCTGCGTCACCAAAACGACGCCTCTCTGTGGTCAGTTGTGGTGGGCCACAGTCTGCCGTCCCTAAAAAAGTCCTCCCCAGCTCTTAATCCTCTCCAGCTCACTTTCTTTTCTGAATGGTCTCCAAGTACTCCTTCCCAGTTCTTTCTGTCACAGTGAGAAAACATCCCTCAAGTTTGGCTCCTGATTTGATTTTGATGTTTTCTTGGTGTTATTAACATCTAGTCTAAGTAAAATATTGCTCATTCCTCAAAGGCAAATTTGTGTGTTTATTTTTGTATTTCTTTCAGCATCCAGCCCAGCACACTCCTAGGCTCTTGGTAGGTTCCCTATAACAACCTGTTAATGGACAGATGAGAGACAGGTATGAAGAAAAGGAAAATCTACTGCAGTGATTTGGAAATGGACAAACCACGTTATTGATGCCCAGCACGGCTCCAGCCTCTTGTCTAATTGTGTCACTGACACTAGGGGACGCTCTTGCACAATTTTCCTGGTTAAAGTCTTGATGCCTTTTGGTAAAGTAGTTAAAAAAAATTCCTCTTACTTTCTTTAAAGAGTCTTATTGGTTTTAATTTGTTCTCATTGGTCCAGTTGTTCTGGATCTAATGAGTTTTATGACTTACCTCCTTAAATTTTATGAATTAAATATATTTTACAACTTGTAATTAGTGTTTCTATGACTGGTATTTCCCTTAAGTCTGGCATTCAAAGTTCTTTCATGCATGTTCAAAAGTCAAGCCATAAAGGAGGTTTTAAAAATGATATTATCTTTCAATATACTTTTCATGACAGGCTAAAAAGGTAAAGATGCGCTCCTTACAAATAGCTGTAGCAATAGGCAAAACCAAAGAAATAGTATGAAAAAGCTCCATGAAAATGTTTTTCTTGCTGTGTGTGTGTGTGAGCACATGGCCTGTGTTCCTAGCAGCGAGCAGAGCAGGAGGGGCGAGAGGACCGGCCACAAGATCGGGGTCCTCTGAAGATACTGAGAATGATAGGAACGACACTAAAAGCTGAGTAAGTTCTTACTGAAATTTTGCTCCTAATGGCTTTGTCAATATCCTGAATGAAAATATTGAACGAAAAACCCAGATGTTATTTGTAAAAAAGAGCAACAAATAGAATTATTGAACCGAACATCAAGAATGAAAAGATCTCCAAAGGCTCAATTGTATCATTGATATTTAATGGTAGAAATCCTATAGCTCTCAAACTGAACGGGCAAATTTGGGGCTGAGGCCCACACTGCAGACAGGCCCGGCTCTGAGCGCCCCAGGTCCTGTGGGGCTGCAGCGAGGGAAGAGCGGACCCTGTGTGAGCGCCATCAGTGCCTTTGGCAGGAAAGAGCAGAGCCTCACCTGATGGTAGCCATTGTAGTCCATGTTTCCTGGGACCAGGAACCCTGGGGCCAGACACAGCTCTCCTAGTAGCATTTCTGGTTTGATGAATTCCTCCAGATAGGTCCTGCAGAGTCTCCTGTCCCAGTCATCTGTGATATGGCCTCCATACATGATCTCTCCAAAGAGGTAGTGCAAGTCGTCATAGGGGACCTGAGAGAGGGGGAAAGAAAGGGAGACCTCCACACGGGCATCGCGGCTGTCCTGATGCACAGGCAGTGTAAGCCGCGGATGGCATGCCTCTCAAGACTAGGAGCAAGGTTTTACTCCCATGCGCACCCCAAGTGCCCAGCAAAGTCAGGCATGTTTGGGGGCCCATTAAATGTTTGAAGAATTGCATCACAGGGTGAGGGGGGGAAGGTATATGCCAGCCCCCTCGCATAAAGGCCTTTCCTCTCTGGTGGTTATTAACTGTGGCCATGAATCCGGGCTCTACCTGAGTCTTTTAAATAGGCAAATGGCAAATGAAAGAAAGCAATGAGTGGGGCATCTTCCTAATTTCCTGCCACTAATTAGCTAATAGTTAATTGTCTCCTTTGAAAGTTCATAGTGAATGGAATAGAGTACATGAGTTGAGTGGTGTCAAAGTTAGGAGGAAAACCACTTGGGGAAGCCTGGCCTCCGTGGAGCAAAGGAAGGGATAGCAGTGTGGGGAGTGGCGGTGTGGAAGTGAGTGGGGGGCTCCTCCTGACAATCCAGAACCCCTGCAAGGCTGTGCATGCCCTGGGCTGGTGGCCTTGGGATGGGCACTCATGGGACTGACACCCACCGGGTGTGAGTCACTAGTCTGGTTTCCTGGGCTCTCTTGGCCCTAACCTTTGTAGGTCACTCTTCTAGGCCTCCCTCCGGTCACTCCAGATCAGCCACGGGGTTAGACTTGCACCTTCTCACACCGCTTGGAAAGGGTGCAGACCTTCCCCAGCGCGCATGCCCCTTCTTCGCTGTGTGGATGCTGCACCCTCCTCCTCAGGGGTGGCCCTTCCCACTTACCCCCTGTCCCCTGCGCTGGCTGGAAACCTCACCTTTGCGTTGGCCTCCAGGAAGTTGTAGAGCACATTCACAGAGATGGTGAGGTCCCCAGTGCTGAAGGGGTAGGAGCGATTCCATCCCTGGGGCCCAAACTTTCGTCTTTCGGCCACCACCCCATGAAAGTAACAGAGAGCAAAGAGAATGCTCTTAAACTCCGTCTCCCAGGAGCACATCTCCAGGGTGTCCTGAAAGGCAAGTGTTGCCCTCAGTGATGACACAGACACACCATTACTCAGGGCAAGCCTCGGTGTGGCTATGGTGGCTGGGGCTTGCGTTGGATTAAGCTACCGTGTATCCTCCTTAGCTCTGAGCTGCTGTAGGACTGCAGCTTGCATAGCAGACAGGCACAGGCTCGGGGTTCCGGGGGACCTTGCAAAGGCGTTGGGTTTTAGTTTAGAATCTGAGCTAAGGTTTAGATTCTGGTTACAGTGGGGTTCAGTTTACAGTTAGGGTTCGCACATATGGACATACTAATGAAGTTCCCAAGCATAGCTGATGGAAAACAGGGCAGTGGGCCCCGGAGCACTGCGTTCTTCACAGTGATGTCATTTTGCATCGGAGTGTGGGTGAGGACTCTCACAGTGGCCTCTCTGACTTCTTCCTTTCCTGCCATGGTGTCTGGCCCCTCATGGCACCTCAGGAGGTGTAATTAGCCTGCGTGAGAGGAATGCCCAGCTCATCTGCTGAGCAGATGCTGAAGGGGGGCAAGGATGGGAGTCAGAGCACAAGGAACAGAGGAGTGTCATGCCCTCCACCACCCTAACCGCTCCACTACTCCTGAGGGGGAAGCCGGATATGCGGCTGCAGAAACAAGAGGGGTCCTGACTGCAGGGTGCAGACTGGCAGAAAAGACATGGCTCATGGAGAGGGGATGAAAGACAGGACGGATCGAGAAGAGAAGAAGGAGATAGTCTGGAGGGAGGCAATAGAACTGTGCTTGGTGGATCTTAAGAGGGATGGCGCTGAAGGTGGAGATGTGGGAAGCTGTGTTTTGAAGGGATGGTAGGACAAAAATCCCTAGATTCTTTGGAATTAAAAGTAATTTCCTCTCAGTGAGACCCTGAATGTCCAGCAAGGAGCAAGATGTTGCAGGTGGAACCCAAGAGAGGTGCTTCCAAAGTGCATGCACGCTCATCAGGGTCAGGCCTGCGTTCCTACCAGGAGCTGGTCCTTGCACTTTGCTCACATGGGCAGGAGGAACAGAGGAGACAAACCAGGTTAAGCTCCTGGTCGGTCTGGTTTGGCCGTGGAGGGCCCACGACAGTCCACCTCTCTCTGGATATGTGGGGGTCACCCTGGTGCCTTTGGTACCATATTTGGCACAGAGGCATGGAGAGGCAAGGTCAGAAGTGGTGCAGAGGACAAAGTCACTGTCCAGTGCGAGGAAGGACCTAGGACTGCTTTCTGGACCAAGCTGTTCCCCAGAGCTGGAGGATGCCTGCTTTGTTACTTCTGACACATTTGAAGAAACTAGATCCTGCTGAAAAATGCCTCTCAGCGCAGACAAGAAGGCATGCGAACAAATGCTGAAACTGGCCGACAGGGGCACATTCAGTCAGAATAAAACAGTCAACCCCCGACAGCACAGCTGTCAGGGAAGCAGGAAGAAAGAGAGCTCAGTTCTGCATTTGTCCCGTAAATGGTTAAAAGGGGGCTTGGAAGGCACACAGTGAGGAGTCGTGAGTGTCACACCAGGGCCTCTGCTCCAGGGCATGTGGAAAAGCAGAATGGAACAATTAAAATGCTTGAGAAGGATGTATACACTCATAAGTCCATCTCCTTTCTCCGAATGAGCTGCGGATGGTGGCTATAGATGCCCAAACAGCCACCTGTGGCAGGCACAGAAGAACCAGGAGAAGCCGGCAGCTCTTGGACTGTCTTCCCAGCTGCCTGAGCATCAAGACAACATCAGGTTTGCCAGGAGATAAACCCAAGAGTGGGAACTAGGAAAAGCCAGCAGCTCCTGTTCCTCCTGAGCCCCATTTTAACCATTTAAGGGACAAATGCAGAGCTGAACTCTTTTATTCCCACTTCCCCAAGGGCCCTGCTGATTAGCAATGGTTGTTTTATTCTGACTTTGTGCTGCTGTCACCAGTCTCAGCATTTGAAGGTGTGCCTCTTTGTCCTTGTGCCTGGGGGCTTCCTTCAGCTGGCTTTCCAGTACAGCTCACTGCATTCCAATGCCTTTTTTTTCAACTTTTAAAAAATTTGTGATAAAATATGCATCACATAAAATGTACCATCTCCACTATTTAAAGTGTATATAGTGTAGTGCTATTATGTGTATTCACATTGTCATGCAGCCCAATGCCTTTCAGGACAGAAATGTCTTCTTGGACCCAGCTACACCTTCTGTAAAGAAGGCTGTAGATTTCAAAGTTAAGAATGTGTATTTCCTTTATGCGGAATATAACATCTAGAAAATTTAGCAGTTCTGACCTCTGGTATAGAGTATCTAGGATTTTAGGCAAGGCCCGTTTAGGAAAAATTTTAAAAAAGAAAAGAAAATGCCCCTGGACAGAAGAACATTCTACTTTCTGCTCCATGTTGCAGTGGGCAGGCATCTCTAACAAACAGGTCAGACTAAAATATCCTGAATCTCTGGGTAATGTTGCCCCACTCTCTGTTCCAAATGATGAGTGGGTTGGGAAGGTGAGTGAACCTCTCAATTTTTTTGGAAGGTTTCCTGTCCATGTTGGACTGCTGGATTCCTACGTTATGATCCGTATCATGCACTTGGTAAAATCTTCCGAGACTCCAACTGCCAAATGCCCTTCATCCCATTTTAAGCTAAACCAGACCCCAAAGGGCCACTGGTCCTGGTGCTTCAGTTAAGTGGCACTAGCTAGGCAGCTGTCCTGCTGAGTGGCCTATTCCAAGTCCCCTAGATGAGTTGTAGCATGGGCTCCATGAAGCCAGGGACCCACTGGTGCTATTGTAAGATGCCATCAGAGAGGACAGATCCCAGAACCCTGTTCTGGGACCCAGCCAAGGCCCAGTGAGGTGGATGGACTTTAAGGCAACCCTCATGGCCCCTGCTCTCCTTGTAAACACACTTTTTGTGTCTGCCTTCCCAGGAAGGGGGAGCTCGTCAAGGAACGGGCAGCCAGACAGGATGCCTTCCTGGGAAGAGGAAAACTGACCTGGCAAGCTTCATACATGGAGCCGGCTGCCACGGACCTGTCCTCAGCTTTAAATGAACACTCCACAGCATGAGTCTTGGAATTCCCAGTAATGGAAACTCTAGTCAGTAGCAGCCCGTTTTCAAAGCTAATGCCTTGATAGGCTTCGTTGCATTGTAATACAGCGTTCGCAAAGTTGACTGTGCAAAGGAGTCCCTGGAGGACTCGTCAGGACACAGATTCCTGGGCCCCATCCGAGTTTCTGATTCAGAAAGTCTAGGGTGCAGCCTGAGAGTTTGCATTTCCAGCAAGTTCCTCGGTGATGAGGCTGGTCTGGGATCTATAGTAAGAGTCTGATACATGGTTACATTCCAAGTCTAGATCCCCACTATCTGACACCTGGACTGTTTGAATTAAGAATGTGTATTTCCCTTATGTGGAATATAACATCTAGAAAATTTAGCAGTCTGGCCTCTGGTATGGAATATGTAGGAGTTTAGGCAAGGCCCGTTTAGGAAAAAGATACTCAAGATGCATGCAGCTATCAATTCTTATCACCAGAACATGAGCATCAACCTCCTTCTTGAAGGCAGTATGCTTACTGGTAAGTGTGTGACTGGCATAGCATGTCAATTAGGTTTATAGCAACTTAACATGCAGACTTACAGAAAGCTCCCCCATAGTTTTTCCAATGAAAGGCCTAAGCCTGGCTCCCCTAGGCATATTGGGAATTGAGAGCTGGTTGTACTCAGGAGGCACTGGGAGGAGTCAGCTGTGCAGGGGCCCAGTTGCTCCACAGCCCAGTAGCTCTATCCCTTGCTCCCGCTGCACGCTTGTCTACCTGGCTGAATCTGCTCTTTGCAGGCAGGCATTCCTCTTCCCTCCCACCTGGGGCCTCACCTGCGTGAAGTTGTCCAGGGCCTTGTGCAGGTTGGCATGCATGCCCGTGGGAGGCTCATTGGTGATTTTAATGGAGTTCTCCAGGATGCCCTGGGGGATGAGGTGACCCTCAGGGGAGGGTGTAGGCGCCGCACTGATGAAGACCCTGAACTCTGGGTGGCTGTTCTCGCTGTGCTCCTCCAGCTTTTTCTCCAGGGTGCTGAGCCACTTGGCCACCAGGTAGATGTTCTGGTGGGAAGGAAGGACCCCCTTCAGTGCAGGCCTCTGACTTGTTGTTTGCAATGAATGGTTTGGGGAAGGCAGCTCGAGGAGGGACCTGGCCCTAGCGTCAAGTGAGTCACATGGCAGTGTGAGTCTTGGGGCTCTCAGTCATGGGGCCATCTAGTATCCTTCAGTTGAACCGCATCCCTGTCCTAAATCTAACAACATGCTCTCAGACTTGACTATGTATCCGAGTCTCCTGAAAGGCTTGGTAAAACAGATTCTCAGGCCCCGCCCCAGTGTGTGTAATTCAGCAGGTCTGAGGTGGGGCCTGAGATCTGCATTTCCAGCAATGTCCCTGTGTCGCTGATGCTGCTGGTCTGGGGGCCACACTTTGAGTCTAACACGCAGTTACATTCCAAGTGCAGATTCCCGTATCTGATACCTGCTTGGTTGAGCCCTTAATACTCAAAAGTGGGGTCCATGGACCTTCACTTTGGCATTATCTGGGAGCTAGTTAGAAATGCAGACTCCTTGTCCCCCAGACTTAGTGAATCAGTGCATTTTAAGAAGATCCTCCAGTGATTTGTATGCATGTTAAAATTTGAAAAGCACTGACTTAATTAAGCTTCTGCTAGCTAGCTCTCTCCACTCCTCTCTCCCTCTCTCCAAACCATTCTGCTAATCGTTGCCAGACTTATCTTCTCAAAACACACAGACGTTGCTGTGTGCTTTCTGGGAGGACTCTCTACTCCAAGCCTGAGTGCCTTTGTCTGCTCTTAGAGCCGTGCTCCTCCAGCCCCCATCTGGTTCCTGTCTGCTGTCTGCCGTGCTCCTCCAGCCCCCATCTGGTTCCTGTCTGCTGTCTACCTGTCTATCTGAACCTCCATCTATTTCTCAGCACTACTTTGCAGAATGCACGTTCACGCCAGTAAGGATAGTCACTTTCCTTCATTGCAATATGTTTCATTAGGATGGTAGATGAAAGCTCCTCAATAGATATTTGAGGACAGCCACTCAGAGAGCCTTAAATACACACATTGGCCCAGAGCACACTACTCGGGCCGAGCAATCTGGTTTCTGACTGCTGCTTTCTCTTCTATGAAAAGAGAAGTAACAATAATGTTTGCCATACTTGTATTACAGAGTTGCTGCAAATAACCACAGGGAATGTATTTGAAAGGTTTCTATACTGCAAAATGCTCTGAGTTAGTAGTGGTTACTGAAATGAAAATTTGTTAAAGAATTCATTTATAATCATTCTGTTGGAGTCGAGATTTTAGTGGGCTGCCTGGAGGGCCAGGACTCGGTCAGCCAGGCAGGGCTGGAGACCCACAGATAAGTGCTCTGTTTCCTCAGGAATTCAGTTTCTGGATTTGATCTTGGAGAGCTCTCAGGAAACCACATCAATGTGCATGTGGGGGCCCTGGGCTGCCGGTATGTGCTGGAGGGCACTCTGTTCATTGTCTGAATGGCTGGGTTCCCAAAGGTGCCAGGGCCCAGAAGGGGGTTCTCTGGCAAGTGATCCTGAGATGGTTGTGGGGGACACACTTGCCCAGCACCATGCTGATCACATGGGAGGGCGCAGGACCCCAGCTGTTGTCATCTTTTCACCTGATATCCTCACTGATGCTGGTAAAAGAGTCCCAGGGAATGGCAGATCCCTCAGTTGCTAGGCTTCAAATAAATAATAGGCTAATTAGGATGAAAACCCTGTAGCAAGATGTGATGCCATAACAGGTCAGGGGCCAGAGGAAGTTTCTGGTAACTAAAGCCAAGAGAGGATGGAGTAACTTTGTTTTCCTTTTTTTTCATTTATTTTTTGTTTTATTGATTTCTTCAATGATTCTTTTTCCCAACAGGCTTTTGTTGAGTGCATACTATGTTCCTGGTAGTGTGCTAGGTGCTAAAAGGTGATTCAGAAACATAGCTCTCCCTAAGAACATGTAGGTAAGGACATACTCGTATATTTACTAAATCATTTCAACATAGCCACAGGCACTTGAATAGAGGTTTGTAGGGTGTTATGGAGGAAAACAGAAGTAAGCCACTTCTTCTACCACAGCCACAGTATCCATGCAGCATAGATCAGGAATAAGGGACAGGCCATGATAGAAAAGGGGGTAGCCTTTATTTCCTATACGCATTCAGTGAAATGGCCAGATTTCCATGCACCAACATGAACTGTCAGTGAAGAGGCTAACTTCTAGTTAGAAGTGTGATGTTCTGGTTGCACAGGTAATGAAGGACATATAATGTGTAACACAATAGAAAGGTACAGTAGAGGACAATTCCTGAAATGCATGGGAAGACATCTACAGCTGAAAAAAGAATTGGCTTCCTTGGTCTTTAACTGCACGCCAGCTTCCTGAGTGTGTATCGAAACAGGCATCAGCTTCCATGTAAACAAGAGTGGCGGAAGCCTGTGTGGGGTGGGGGCAATGAGGAGTTATCAGGAGGTGGGGTGAGGAAGAGGACACAGGAAGGAGGACAAATGGAAAGAGAAACCAGCAAGTGAAAGCGGTGGGGGTGTAGAGGGAAAGGTGGGTGAGTGGGGAAAGGAGCCCAGAGGAGCCCAGAGATTGTGATGTGAAGTCCAGAGGGTTCTAGGGTCAAGCATGACCCCCACCAGGGCAGAGGGAGCATACCTGCAAAATCACCCAGTGACCCTTCCTGGCGGCCAGGTCCAGGGCAGCCTCAGCCACTGCCTCCTGTCCTTGCCCCAGAGACACGTTATGGAAGTTCTGGTTGTTGAAGGTATATCCAAGTTTTCTACCTAAAAGGAGCATGGGGTTGTTATGATTATCTCTTGTGTCTATTGATCTGTGTTGGTGCATGTTCATAAGGCAATGCACATCTCCACACCACTCCCCAAGCACAGGCATGCCTGAATCCATATCCTGAGCCTCAGGTACCAGCCCCTTTCCTTCATGGTGGGGTGGGCATGGGGGCTATATCTCCCAGCTCTTTGCTCCCAAGTGAAAGGAAGCCCTTGTCTAGACCAAAATTGCTTCATCCGCCGCTCTTCATTTAATCCACAAGAATGGATAGACATGCTGACGATCTTCGGTGCAGCTTCATGTGAGGACCACACATTGGTCCACTACCTACAGAGTGAAAAGGCTCAAAGGGTAGCAAGCACGGGAGTGTGGCGTCTGCTGACTTGCTTTGTCCTCTGAACATATATTTTCCCTGGAACTTTACTGGGAGGTGTGGCCAGTAGGGGCAGGATTCAGGGAGTTATGACTTCCTGGACTTTATGTAGAATTAACCACCTCCCTTATTATTCCCAGCACCTGGAAATGTTTTAGCTCATTGTTTTGCATGAATTAGAGTAAAGAGAGGTAAGAGGCAAGAAAAGAAGGGGCTTGGCTGTACACGTATAAGTGTATCTAGATAAAGGGTTGCCGGTGTCAGGAACGGAGTATGGAAACTGCTACACCAACACAAATATCACAGCCATATCATTGGAGTGAGGCCAGTGCTCATGCATTGTTCTGGAAGCCCCAGAAAAACTTCACACAAAGGAAGAAATGACCTTCATATAGACGACTAATTCTGCTTGGGCACTGTGATCAGCCCTATAGGATAAAGCATAGGGAAACTGCATAATATGTTTCAGACAAAAGGATTATAAAAGTGTTTAATACCAGGAAGGGATCATTGAGAGATTTTTTTCTAGGGAGATGAAGTATACAAGAGAAAAAAGGACAGATTTAAAAAGAGAAAAAGAATAAAAATCTGTATTTCAAAAATGTACTTTCAGGGGAACTAAAATTGAAGACATCATTTGATACTTGTAAGAAAATTTAAAGAAAACTGTTAATATTGGATATTTCTTTTAAGTACTGAGAAAAATACAGCATCTCCTTCAACTGTATAAGACAAAGCAGCATAACTTTTTGTAGTGAGGAATAGTTATTACAGATTCAACTGAGATGAGCCCAACCCCAAGACATACCGTTATTAAATCCAATAAATCCTAGCTGGCAATAGACTTTAGAACAAGGGATATAAACAATTTATTCGAGAAAATACCAGGATAAAAGGTGCTGGGATTATTAGATAGCCTTGGTGACATTTCTACTCACCAAAGAGCCTATTTCTTTTCTTTATTAGCAAGATATGGGATAAACGGGGCTTAATAAAGATTAGTTTGAGAACTGCAGAGTGGGAGGACTGTTGAGGCAAAATGTAGCACCACGCAGGCTAGATGGGGTCAGTTTGCATTAATCTAGGCTCGAGGAATAATGAGGAGTCTGAGGACAAAGCAGTGGATGCCGGAGATGTGGAGAAGGGGGAGACCGGTGGGGTTCTCAACTGACGGGACATTCAGCCGGAGATGACGGCGTGGCACGCGGGCCTTGCAATGTGCTGAGGCTGCCTTGCAGAGCCCTTCTGTTTTGCAAGTTGAGGCCCTCAAGATGCCTTGCTGGGTCGTCTAGCCAACTACACTCACTTGGGTTTCTACCTTCACATTACTTTGCGGTTTGGGTTCCACCCCCCTCCCACTCCCATGGCCTTTAACTCATCTTTCTGTTTCTGATCTTGTTTTCAACTTTCCCTATGGTGGTGTTACCTGGAATGGTGCCCCGTTGTAAACCTTGACATCTTCACAGTGTGTACCCCTCACCTTCATTACTTTTGAGACAGGAACAGTGGGTGTAGTCAGAGTAGGGTGAGGGCCTCCAGAGGGGGCAGGGTGGGATATCTGCAGTCAGAGCAATGTAACTGCATGCAAGGAAACCCCCCTGCTAAAACTCTATGTTAAACATTAAGCTCTTGAATCATTCTTCAGTGAAATCAGTTAATGTTCCCCAGATAAAGAAGAGTAGCATATGTTTTATTATGCTAACCTTTTCTAATCATGTGTAAGGTTCTCTTTAGCATACCAAAAGACCCAGGCCTATGTGCTGTCTTTCCTCCTTCAGATTTGATGAAGTGATTTTGAAAACTGGGCAACTAATTTTGCAAGTAAGCCCAGGCATAAACAACACAGTAAAAGGCAGAAAGGATTCCACCTTAAAGATAAGATTGCATTTTAATACCCAACAAGTTAAGACGTTAGAAATTCTTAACTTAACTTTTTAACAAACAATACCTCAGCCCACCTTGGGAGGCAGAGCAGGTGGCCTTGTTTTCTGACCCCCAGACCAAGATGCTGGTATCTCAGGGAGAAATCATCAGAGGAAGTAGCTTGTGTTAAGTTAATTATAAATATTCAGAGACCACTTAACAAGTCCACACCCCTAAGTTTTTTTCATGTTCTCGAAAAATCCTCAACTGTCTATAAAACCCCCTAGGCAACGGACCACTACGGACTCTCTTGTTCCCTCCTGGCATGAGCCAGGAGCTCTATTCTCTCACTTTATCTCTAAATAAAAGCCTGTACCTTGCTCTCCTACCTTGACTGTGAAGCTCATTCTTCGGCTCTGCAAACAAGAACCCCATCATCACTTTGAGGACAGTGCAGCTTCCGCAGCCCTCTCCCTGGGTCCACGTGCTGGTGGGGCTGGGTGGAAGGCAGACCTGTTTCTAGTCTACTCTTTTTCCTTGTAGGCTATTTCCTCTCTGTCCTCATATAAAAACCCTTTCTCTTTTAAAGCACATATCATCTGCTTACATTATCTCCAAACATGTTCCATGCCTTCTCACCTCCCAGTGAGATTCACTTTTATTAGGGGATTTGGAACTTGCTGGAAAATCTTCCATACTTCCTATTTCATCATTATCTCGGTAAGTGTTAATGTCACTATGGATGACTCAGCCAACATCCAGCCTCAAGCTTTCTCATCTTCAAAGAATTTAACTCCATTCCATTTCTGTTTCCCACTACCAATGGCTGCACCCAAGCCTTTATTCACTGAGAACCATCCCATGTCTAAAACATTATTTCTTCATGTCTACTTATGACTGTAACTTCCTACTTTCCAGATAGTTCATTCTCTTACTCCCTCCTCACCTAATATTATACTTCAGTGAAATGTTCAGTCTAGTGGTTCCTCTATTTTTTCTACTCTTCACATTTACCTTCCTCCTATTTTAATGTGGACCCAATAATCCTTAATCTTTAATTGGAATGATGATCTCACAAGATCTTCAACTCCATTGCCCTCTTCTACTTCTATGTCACCCAGTTGTTTATAAAACCTCAATCCTGAGTGAATCTAGTATTAATAAAAGAGAAAAAGAATACATTTGGTGAATTGGAACCACCAAAAATTCATGATTTTCAACCCCAGTGCTGCTTGGTAATCTTTTCATTCACCCAGAAATCCCCTTTCTTTAAAATTCCTAAGGGATCTCACCCTTTTCACTGTCAGCAGTTTGCTCCACTTTCTACTCCCTGAGAAAACACATGCCATCAGGCAGACATTCCTTCAACTCACTGCCATATTGTGTG